GAAGTTAGAGAGGCTTTAAAGAGAGTGAAGGGTGGAAAAGCTGTTGGACATGATGATATTCCAATAGAGGTGTGGAAATGCTTAGGAGATGAAGGAATTTCTTGGCTTACTAAACTTTTTAATACTATTTTGAAGACTAAAAAGATGCCAGATGAGTTGAGAATGAGTGTGTTAATTCATATTTTTAGGAATAAAGGTGATGCACAAGATTGTGCGAATTATAGAGGAATTAAGTTAATGTGTCATACTTTTAAAACTATGGGAGCGAGTTATGGAACATAGGTTGCGGTGTGATACTAATATTTCTCAAAATAAATTTGGATTCATGCCTGGTAGGTCGACTATGGAAGCTATACATTTATTAAGAGGTTTGATGGAGAAATATAGAGAAAGTAAGGAGGATCTATATATGATATTTATTTATTTAGAAAAAGCATATGATAAGGTTCCAAGAGAAGTGCTTTGGAGAGTTCTTGATAAGAAAGGAGTTAATAACGCTTATATTCAAATCATTAAAGATATGTATGCAGGAGCTATTGCTTGTGTTTAAACACAAGGTTGTTTGACCAAGTATTTCTCTATTTCAGTTGGGTTACATCAAGGATCAGCCTTAAGCTTATATTTTTTTTGCTTTAGTCATGGATGTTCTCACTAGACATTTGTAAGAGGATGTACCTTGGTGCATGCTTTTTGCTGATGATATTCTTCTTGTTGATAAGACTAGAGAGGGAGTTGAAGGTAAACTTGAATTATGGAGGTCAACCTTAGAGTCTAAAAGTTTTCGCTAGTAGATCTAAAACGGAATTTTTTTTTTTTGAGAAATGCTAAGTAGTAATAAAATTAAAAAGCACCAAAGAGCCTAGATACAAGCTAATGAGGAACCAACCATCTTTCACATTCTTCCTTTACAATTTGAACAAAGGAAGAAGGAAGGTTGTTTTCAAGAAAGAAATCCCAATCAAAATCAAATGATAAAGCTAAGTTAGCACAATAATCTGCTAACTTATTACAATTGCGTCTAACACAATTAAAAATAAGATTATTGTAATTGCTAAAGAATAAGAGGTCTTCATCTTCCAAGTTCTCTCTGACCTTCTTCTGTTTGCTATGCAATTGATGAAAAAATTGGAGAACATTCTTATTATCCCCTTCCACTATGATACCTTTCGCTTCTCGTGTCCATCCTTGCAAGATTTCCTTCACGGATTTGAATGTTGAAAGTTCCATTCGTGCAATGCCCCAATGCAGTTTCCTTCGTCCAAAAGCAAAGACAAACCTTCCTTTGTCATCTCTTACTATCCCACCGATACCAGCCATACAATTCTCTTTAACTACTCCATCAAGATTAATCTTTAACCACTCAGGTGGAGGAGGATGCCAATAATCTAAGAACAGTCCTTTGGACCGATAAACACCCCAGTGATCTGAGCGGTAAATACCCTGTTTTGCTGAGCTATAGAAGCTTAAAACTGAAACTGCAATCATGACATTGTTGCTTCCAGTTTTTCCATGTTTTACCTTGCACCTATTATTCCAAACAAACCATAATAGCAATGCGTATATCCTTGCTGTCAACACATCCTCCTATGTTAATCTTTTAATTCCTTGTAAGAAATCTCTCCAATTACAGAAATCTGGAATTCTAAATCCCCAGCCTCTTAATACCTTGCTAACTTTCACAAGTATTAGACAATTAGACGTGACATGATCAAGATCTTCAATCACCCCACATCCCATAGGACATAAGCAATTACCCGAAAGCTTTCTCCTAAAGAGAAAATCTTCAGTAGGAATAGCATCTCTACACAACCGCCATAAAAACAGTTCCACCCGAGCATTAATCTTCAGCTTTTGAATCCATGTTAACAAATCCCCTGTCATCACTTCTTTAAGACTATCTTCCATCAACAATGCTGAGATAGTTTTACCGATGAACTGAAGCTTCAATTCCATGTGGTCTTGAATTGCAGTATTGTAGATCTGTACTCCAATCATCCTCACAAGGTCTTCACCGAAGCACTGTCTAAGTTTCCTGAAATTCCATTTGCCATCCTCTATGAAGTATTCATGAGTAGAATTTTCATCATCAATGCATCCCACAAAAGTTGGCCATTTAAGTAGACTCTTGTCCAAAATCCATGCATCCTTTAATACATTAATGCTGGAACCATCTACGACTTTCCATCTTACAAACTTTTTAAGAGCTTTCCATCCACTAGTAATGATCTTCCATGAATTCGATCCTCCTTTAAACTCCTCCTTACTCCACCACCTTTCACCATATTTAGCTAGCAGGGTTCTATTCAACAATGTATTTGGTTTCTCAAAGAGATTCCATGCAAACTTTGCTTTAAGCGGCCCAATTCTGGTCATTGCTGATTGAAGACCCCATCCACCACATTGCTTTGGTCTATACAACATCTCCCATGCCACATAATGCAAACCGTGGCTTCTATCCATTTTATTCCAGTGAAGTCTCTACAGAGTTTTTCGAACTCATTTAAAGTTCTCATTGGGACAAGAGAGTGAGAGATTAAGAAAACTTGTAAAGCAAGAAGAACAGTTTTTACCAAAATTAATCTTCAAGCTAACGACATATATCTATTTCCCCAATCATTTATTTTTTTAATTGTTTTATCCAATAGCATTTGGAAATCAGCCTTTTTTAATCTTCTTAAAGCAATTTTGATTCCCAGGTATTCTAATTCTTCCACCATTTTGAATTCCAGCAACTTTGATATTTGATTCTTTCTCCTTACCACCGATTTGCCAAAAATCAAAGATGATTTTTGTTGATTAATATTCTGCCCGGTCCATTTGCAGTAGTTTCTTACAATGTTTCTCATCTTCTTAACATTTTTTAATTTTGCATATGAAAACAACAACACATCGTCTGCGTACAGAATATGTGTAATCCTTGGAGCTTTGGAGCAAATTCTGATTCCCAAATCCCTTCCTATGCTGTAAAAAACATTGGTTAATAGCCTAGAGCTTATAATAAACAAGAATTGAGAGAGTGGGCATCCTTGCCGAAACCCACATCTTCCCTCAATCCAATTTGATCTTGTCCCATTGATCAATATAGAGAATTTGGGATTGGAAACACATTCCATAACCAATCCAAGAAACCTGTCCGGGAATCCCAACTCCATCATCATCTTCTTTAAAGTTAACCAACACATACTATCGTATGCTTGTTCCATATCCAATTTGCAAGCCTTTGAATGCCTTAGTTTACTGAAAACCTCTTGAGCTAATAAAAGATGATCAGAAATAGATCTCCCCTTTACAAAAGCCACTTGCTCTTCAGATATGATCCTTGGAATCACCAATAACATTCTGTTTAAAATTACTTTAGCCACAATCTTATAAATATAATTACATAAACTGATTGGACGAAAGCTAGAAGGAGTTAAAGGATTCGTAGATTTAGGAATAAGCACAACCAAAGTATCTTTCCAATCTTTACTCATCTTTCCTGAAGAGAAAAAGTGTCTTACTGCTCTATAAACATCTTCACCAATGATCTCCCAAAAGCTTTTGAAAAAGGAATGTGACAAGCCATCACAACCCAGAGCCTTATTGTTCCCTAACCTCATAACAATCTCCTTAAGTTCAACCACTGAAAGCTCCCTTCTCAACAAAATTTTGTCATCTTCTTCCAAAACCATCAAAGGATCCGGCCAGTTCTCCAAACTGCAATATCTATCCCTCCATTTATCTTGAAAGAATCTGAAAAAAACTTCTTGCACTTCCCTAGGATCTTCGGTGAGCAAGCTAGCAGAATTCTTCACTTGAGAGACCCAATTAGCACTCCTCCTAAAAACAGAATATATGGAGTGTAATTTTAGTAGTAATAACCTAATGCGGGGATTATGACTTTGGGAAATCTAGTCATTAATAAGAGTATACGTTTTAGATATCTTGGATCTATTGTTCAGAGTGATGATGAAATAGATGGGGATATTATCAGCAGAATTCAAGTTGGATGGTTGAAGTGGAGGAATGCATCGGGCTTGTTGTGTGATAGAAAAGTACCCCTCAAATTGAAGGGAAAATTCTATAAGATGGTGGTGAGGCTTGCAATGCTTTTTGGTGGCGAATGTTGGCCATTCAAAGAGAAGCATAATACTAAGTTAAGTGTGGTAGAGATGAGGATGCTCAGGTGGATGAGTGGCTTTACTCTTAGAGATAGGATACGAAATGAGCTTATACGTGAAAAGGTTGGCGTAGCTCCAGTGGTTTGTTCACATAAAACGGTGGCCTTCTGATGATCCGGTTAGGAGAGTAGAGGTCTTAGATTTGACTTATGTTAAGAAAGGTAGAGGCAGACCTAAAAAAACTTGGTTAGAAAATATTAGGAATGACATTTCTTTATTAGATTTAAATGAGAATTTGACTTTTAATAGGACACAATGGAGGAAAATGATTCATGTAGCCGACCCCACGTAATGGGATAAAGGCTTGATGTTGTTGTTGTTGTTGTTGTTGTAGGGCATGTTTGGGGCAATTATTTGGTTGTCTCCATTAATTTGAAGTTTGCATATTCTTATCATGAACTGGCCTCTCTGCACTGCAGGATTAAGGCTTAAATTAATCCTTTTTGGATATCGCATTGATGGAATATCTCATTCATTTCTATGCTTTTTTATCTATTTGGTTATAAAGTATGGAAGAATTCCAGCTTTCCAAGCTAATCTTAATTAACATATCATTTTCCGTCCTTGTAATTTTTTTTGTTATACAAATACAAATTTTTGCATATGGAAGTGCTGTTTGTAGTTTTGAAATGTTAGGACTGCAGTTATCAACAGGATTTGCCCTTTATTAACAGATTGCATATGCAAAATGCTTACCATGGGAGAACAAGATTACTAGTACCCACATTGATGAGGGAGCTTTCAAAGCATCCATCATTGATTGGAAAAATAGTTGCCTTTCAGCAGCTAAAAATGCAAGGCTATTGTATCAACGAGCTTTACACCTGACCCCATGGCAGTCCAATATCTATGCTGATATTGCAATCACAATTGATCTCATTTATTCTCTGCTAGAGAGAGAAAAAACAGATCATGATACTCGGTACTGCTCCTTATGTTGAATAACCTCAGTGTTCTTTTCATATTTCTGGTAACATGTTAACTTTTCATGCTATATTCACCAGGCAACTATCAGAGAGGATGTCTTTGGGGAGCTTAATGTTTGAGGGAGTTAATTGTGATTTTTGGGTTATACTGGCCTGTGTAACCAATGATTATGCATTGAAGCAGCATGCTCTTATCAGGGGACTTCAGCTGGATAATTCTTTGGCTGTATCATGGGCATACCTTGGGAAGGTAATCGTGGTAGATCTTATTTTTATAAGAAGGGATCTAATATCTCTGTTGTTCTGTTTTGCAGCTTTACATGAAACTAGGTGAAAATCATTTGGCTACTCAATCATTTGATCGTGCTAGAAGTTTAGATCCCTCTTTAGCATTACCATGGGCTGGCATGTCAGTAGCTTCTCATGACCGGTAATTTTCTTTCTGCTATTGAACACTTGATCTGGTGGACATATACTAGGAGCCCCCCTTTTTCTAATACATTTTTCTTTGAAGGAACTACTCCCTGAGTGAAGCCTATGAAAGTTGCCTAAGAGCTGTGCAGATAATGCCTGTATGTACTTTTCAGTCATCTTTATTTCATGTATTTGGCAGTTGCATGGCCAAGAGGGTATTTCTTAACTGGTAGCACCATCTAAGATAATCTGCAGTTGTGCTATTATTGATTACGTATTTTCTTTACTGTTTATGTAGCTTTAGTAGTTACAATATTAAGCCTTATGGTTTAGTCAGAAAAATATGGTTTTATAAGATTATAGAAAGCTTGTTTGATGAGGACATCAGATTTCAACACGTGTACCGTCGTCAGAGATGCAGAACGACGGCTACGATCCAGAGCCTTTATATTTGATTTATTTTGTATTTTATTTGTTCTCGCATTTTATTTTCCTAGTTTACTCCTGTGGGTGCTGAGTCGCTATTGTAGCCCTAAGGGCATTTGTGTCTTTCTAGTCTTGTTTCATTTTTGGCCTATTTATAGGAGGCCTCTTGCATTGTACTAGTTGATGAATGATGAAATGAAATTTCAGTTTTCTTTGAGTGATCTCTTAGTGAGTTCGTGAGAGGAGAGACCCAAGGAGGGTAAAGGCAATACACGTCAATCTTGATGGATTCCAAGATTTGCGGTTCTTCAATCTTTCTTTTCTTTTAATTTTCTTGCATCAAATTCCCTCCCCTAAACTTCCCGTCCGCCGGCCTTATCCCCCCAAAGCTTTTCTTTGTAATTTTCCCTAACCCGAGCCCCTCCCCTTGCCGCCGGCCTCCTTGGGCCTCCCAAGCCGCCGACCATCACCCACCTGATCGCCTGCCTCCCTCCCACATCCTTCCCTCTCCACACATCTAGCCGCCGGCCCACCTCCCAAGCCCCAAATTTGAAATTCAAATTTCAAATACTCATTTACTCACTTTCCTAAAATAAATTTGGTCAATTTGGAAAGTTTCTTATTGTGAATTCATTTAAAAATTTGAATTCAAATAGTTTCTTATTGTCTAAATCTATGATAGGAAACCTCTCTAATTGATTTAAATCTGATTTAAATTTCAGATTTTGATATTACTCCTTAATTAACTCCTTGGGGCCCACTCAATTAAACCAAATCCCTCTCCCCCTCTCTCTATTAGGCCGGCCACCTAACCCCTCTCCCTCTCTCTCCTATCTCATTAATTACCACCAATTAAATCCCCCTAATCCCCTCATAACCGCCGGCCCCTTTATAGCATTAATTTGAATTTTCAAATTAATTCCCTCCAATTCAACTTAACTTGAAATCTAATTTCAGATTTCTAAACATCTCACCAAATCCCCAACTAGCCCTAGCCGCCCCCTTCACCTCCTCCCACCCGAACCTCTCCTCCCTCCTTTTCTCCTTGGTCGATTCCCCCCCAAGTGTCGGTTCCTCCACCACAACGTTATACACATGACAAGGATCTCCCATGATCATGTATGGCCGATCCAGAGCATGACCACATATTTGTGTTCGACTATCAAGGGGATATCGACGTCATCCGATCTTCGTTCTTCGACGTTGGATTCGGATTCGACCACACCGTCGAGGATTACCTAAACCGTATTCTTCCCCATCTAGTGGACGTCCTCGAAGAGCAACTACCTACGGAAGAGTGGATAATCACCGGGCGCCCACCCTCTCCCCCATCTCTGGCTCCTTCCCCGGCAACTAGTCCCCTCGACATCATTTGTCTATTAGTGGCATCCTTAAGCTTGTGTGCAATCCTCTTCCGCTAAGCCGAGTGATATCAAGAGTGTATGTGAGGGACTTCGAGGTGAATGATTTAGATCTTAAACCGTGGATTTTTGTTAAGTGCCATTTGCTTTAAGATTTATTTGTTTGTGTAATTTTGTTAATCTCTTATTGCTTTTAATTGTAATCAATTGACATTACTTAGTTCTTTCGTGAAAATTTTCTAACGATTTATCTTGAAACACATTCGTTTATACTTAGCTACGCAAAGTTCACAAGTTATTAATTTCTTACAAGCAATTCTTGTTTCGTATTACATCATATTTGGTATCATAGCATGGTAAGCATGTCTTGCATGTGCTAGAAGTTCTTAGGAGTCTAGTTAACCTTTCCGACATCACTTATCATATCATTGCTTAGTTGTTTTTCAGTTCTCTGTTTTCTCTGCTGTACAATAAATTTCTGCACCATTTTCATCATTTTAAGCAACTCTATTTCATTGTTTAAGTGCTTTCCTTGTCACAACAGCATCCTTAATTGCTTAGGTTGCTTAAACAAACCTTATAGGTTGCTGTCCAAGTTTTTCCTGCACCAATTAGTGGCATTTAGGTGAGTCTAGGCTGTGTTTAAGTGCTGTCCACACACTAGGACCCTCCCAAAACGCTTAGACAACTTGGACCCTTGCTGTACCTTGCTGTCCTAATCATTCATGCATCATTTAGAGACTTTAGGAGTGTTGACCTGTATACGACGGTCTACAGAAAAAAAAAAAAAATTTCGCGTACCTGTTCGGACATCCAACGACGCTCTTCGCACGATCTCTCCATACCGACGTCGTGTCTATGCACGATCTTCGTCCAAATCGCGTTGATAAAGGGATATGAGCGGTACCTCATTTCGACTCCGGCTCCCACGATCCCTCTCTCCCTCTCGCAGTTCCCTCGTGAGATCTGCTCGGCTTCTCTCGACGACCTCCCCTCTCAGTGAGATCGGAAGCTACGACATTTGATAGGAAGCAACGATCGGAGCTCGATCGCTGAGAAGGTAACTTTCTCATTGTTAGGCTCCTTCCCGGACGTTCGACTTTGCTCCTTCGAAGACTTTCCTTTTGAGCCGGATCGTAAGCCACGCATCTCGATCGGAAGCAACAACAGGATCTCGCGGCTGTGGAGTAACCCCTTTCCTCACTCGTGCTTCTCCAGTCCTTCGTGGCCGTGCGAGTTCGCTCCTTCGACGAGCTTCCTTTCTGACCGATCGGAAGTTACTACATTTTGATCGGAAGCAAGCAGAGGAGCTCGCTGGCTGCAGAGATAACTTTCTCCCTTTCGAGCAGCTTCTCCGACTCCTTGGCCGCCCGACTTCGCTCCCATCGACGACCTTCCCTTCCAGTCAGATCGGAAGTTACGACATTTTGATCGGAGCTAACCACGGGAGCTCGCCATGAAGATAACTTTCTCCCTTCGGCGCCTCTTCTTCAGCTCCTCCGTGACTGTTCGACCGCTCCTTCAACGACATTCCCATCCTGTAGGACCGGAAGCTACAACATTTTGATCGGGATCAACGACGGGAGCTCACGGGCAGTGAAGGTAACTTCATCCCTTTCGTGCACTTCTCGGCCAAATCCCGTCTTTATTTTAATTAAAATTAATTTTTAATTAATGTTAATTTTAATTATGTTAATTAATTATAATTAGTATAATTAATTAAAATTAGTTTTAATTAAATAATTATAATTAATGTTAATTAATTATAATGATTTAATTAAATTAATTTTAATTAATTATAAAATTTTTTAATTAATTACAATTAATTTTTATTAATTAATTAAATTTAATTAATATTAATTAATTCTAGTTAATTAAAGATAAATATGATTAGTTATTTTAATTAATTATATAAATAATTAATTACTTTAATTAATCATAAACATAATTAATTAAAAATAATTATAGTTAATAATTAATTATAATTAATATTTTAATTGAAATAAAATAAAATAAAAAAATGCCTGCCCCTTTTTGCCTCGATCCTCGAGCCGACACCGCCGATAGTCACCGACGACGACCCCTGCCTGACTTCAAAGTATAAATTTCTAACTTAAACCCCGTCCTCGACGCGCTTGACGCGCCGGTGGATCTCCTATACGCGCTCTTGTAGCACGGTGGGGGAGAATCCGGTGCGACATGTGCGACGAGGCGGGTAAGCCCTATACACGCTCTTGTAGCGTGGTGGG